ATTATTTCATTTAATAAGAAGCAAAGCAGAGTAATTCAAAGAAACCTAGATATTAAGGGATTTTTAATTTCCACACAACACTACAACTCTGTTATTTGCTTTGTCTATGAACAACTTAGTTTTGGACTCATTGTGTCCAGATTTTGAAGGCAGAATTTTTTTTTTTTCTGCAAAAGTGAGGCAATCGGTTTCAGGAACACCCTGAGCCGAATGCAGTGCAAACTCAGACATTGTGGTGAGCTGAACGGCTCCTTCATCTACCAGGACTCTTTCAAGTGTGGTACACAAAATCACATGAAAATTTGAAAGCAAATGACAAATATTTGATTTCATTGCCTGGGAGGGTAGAAAATTTATGTGGGCATATTTTTTTTCTTTCAAAGTTTGTTAAATTATAAAAGTTTGCATTTCCGCCCCTCCTCCCAACACCCTCCCACTTCCCCCACTCCCTCTCCTCCTCCCTCTCCATCCCTAAGAGCAGTCAGGGTTTCCTGCCCTGTGGGAAGTTCAAGTTCCTCCCCCCTCCTTCCAGGTCCAGGAAGGTGAGTATCCAAACAGACTGGATCCCAAAAATCCAGTATATGCAGAGGAAACAAGTCCCAGTGTCATTGTCAATGGCTTTTCAGAAAGACTCCGGGCCAGCCACATTCAGAGAATCTGGTTGGATCACGTGCTCGTTCAGTCCCAGTCCAACTGGTGAACTCTCATTAGATCAGTCCCCTTGTATCAGTGAGTGATCGCACCCCTCGCGGTCCTGATTTTCTTTTTCATGTTCTTCCTCCTTCTGCTCCTCATTTGAACCTTGGGGGGCTCAGTCCGGTACTCCAATGTGGGTCTCCGTCTGTATCGCCATCCTTCGTCGGATGAAGGTTCCCTCTGGTCTTGCCTTCTTTGCTCACGTTCTCTTTCCTTCTGCTTCTCGTTTGGACCTAGGGAGTTAAGTTATGTGGGCATATTTTAATTGTCAGACAGTATCTTACCTTAAATAGATCAACTTGCCACTCTGGACACCATGAACAAGCCTGGTAATTAATCTCCAACCTAGGTTGTAGCTATGGAGGCTTCAGAGTCTAGAACTGTGTCTGTGGTTACAGATGTGGAGACTCTGGCAGTCTGGGGAGGGCCTGTGTTTGTGGAAACTATGGTTATGAGTCTGGCTATGGAGGTTGAGGATACATGTTGCCACCTGTCATGCCTAGGACATGGAATCTCTGGACTCTAGTAAATTGTTTTTATATTCAGCATCTAAACAATAATGGAACTCTCCAAAGATGGCCTTGCTCACTCTAGCTGAGTATATGATAGTGCTATGAGCATGTCACACAGTTTTTTTAATCTGTATTACCAATGATACCATAATGACAGAGTTCTTTAATTTTGTTGGTAACTGCTCTGATTCTCTCTTCGTCTTCTAATAAATCATTCTAATTTGGAACCAAAATATTATTTCATAATTTTAATTATGTATACATGCTGGTGAATCTTGACAATACCATTGTGAAGGAGAGAGTCAATAAACACACAGATAGTAGATAGTTTGGGAGTGAGCTTACAGACAGCTTTCATAAAATAAATAAGTAATACGTTTCTGTTTCTTTCACTGGGTAGTATTAATATTCAAGTTACCAAGAAGCAGCTGTCATCAAAACTATATCTTCATATGTTACTCGAGTTTTATAACATTTAGAAGTATTTCTCAACTCATCCATTCAACAGGTCTGGCCCTTTAAATATAGATAAATAAAATATTTTAGATTAAACCATGTCATTAAGTCTACTGGAAAAATAAACTACTTCACTACAAAAAAAATTAGAATTCTGCAATTTCACCCAACTCTTTTGCACATTCTTATTTGATAACTGATTGTGCCATTGATCTATGTTATTAATTAAACAGGGTAATTTTTCATCTGAGGCCAGGTCACATTTAATTCATAATCTTTTAGGTACACTTGCTCAGTTGACTGCTTAACTCATTTCACTTCAGCTCTATAAGGGGACTTTCTTCTTTTTAATCCACAACATAGTAAAGCAATGAAATCCGAACATCTGTCTTTTAGTTTGTTGGAGCAGGCTGTTTGTTGTTTCCTGGCTGCCCAGCTAGTTTAGACAGAAAACCATATTATTTAAAACACTGCTTGGCCCATTAGCTTTAGCTTCTTATTAGCTCTTACATTTTAATTTATCCCATTTTTATTAATCTGTGTATCGCCACATGGTTGTGGTTTACCAGCTAAAGTTCCTAGCATCTGTCTCAGGCTGCGGATCCATGGTTTCTCACTGACTCTGCCTTTTTCCTCCCAGGAGTCACCCTAGCTTTCCCTGCCTACCTAAGTTCTGCCCTGCTATAGGTCCAAAGCAATTTCTTTATTCATTAATGGTAATCACAGCACATGGAGTGGACTCCCACATCATTACTGAACTCCCGAACTATTTTTGGAGCTATTATTTGTGAGTATGTTTATGAGTTATATGAGAAGAAAACTGATCTCCACAACTTTATTATAGATAGCACGTTGGTGTTTCTCCTCCCGCATCACTGAAATGACCCGCCCCGCTTATTTACCATTGTGCATAGCTCAGCCAAAATTCAGCATTCTGTGAAATCACCCCCAGATTAAAGGCAAACCACACATTAGCTCAGAACAAAGCCCTCAGTATTCAAGGCGCTGCCTCTGTCTCCTGAGTGTAGGTGAATGTTTGCACATCACTATATCCAGCCTTGACATTTTGATGTATATATTTCATGACTTTCTTTTCCTCTTTATCCTTAAACATGTCTGTTTTTACTTGAATGAGTATGTATACAAAGAGGCAAGACGTATTGACCTATCACTTGCTGTTTCTTTGAAATCGTGAAAATGAAACCTGACCTATACCATAGATGAGCTCCTTCTCATCTGTAATAGTAATTTTAATCCGAGTGCACCTCATTATATACATAAGACAGGAGTATGAATGAGTCTTCCTTCATATGCACACACCGGTCACACTTGCCTCAACATTCATATGATTCTTTACACTTTTCAATGTACTTACTGCTGTTGGAGTTAATAATAATAACTCATTCAAAGAGATGGGGAAAATGGCTCAGCAGTTAAGAGCAATGAATGCTTCTCCAGAAGGACCTGGGTTCGATTCTTAGTACCCACATGGCAGCTCACAACTCTCTGCAACTCCAAAATCTGACACCCTTACACAGACAGAAGTTCAGGCAAAACACCAGTGCACATAAAATAAAAAAAAATTAAAAAATGACTCACTGAGAATGGTATATTTTTCTGCTCATTTTCCCCACAATGAACACTAGAATAAACTTGGATAAATCAGCAAAAGAATTTACCTGAATAGAAAAAGAATATTAGTTTAAATATTCTTTAGAATGCTGTAAGCCATTTTGCATTGCACTTTACTTGGGAGAAAGCTTCCTTACAGCTTACTCATTTCATGCTGCACCAGACAGAATTCATTGTTTTTTTTTTTTTGGTTTACCAAACAGGAGATTGTTTTCCTTGAAGAAGATTTGACTAATCCATTGGAGAAAAGATATTATCAAGAATCCTATTTCCAAATAGTAAAATCAAATATAAAACAACATGTTCTCTGGTATATATTCAATGTCACATAAAGGGACATATTAATTACAACCCAAAGCTTATAATATTATTGTATTTTAATGATAATTAAGTTTGGAGTGATTGCCTCTTTTCAAGGTTAAGATTAGGAAGTCTGAGCAAAGTGACAGGCTCCCCTCACATCCTTTTTGCAATCCAGTACATTCAGCATTGCCATTCATATTTGAAGAGTTATAAGTTCTGAGAAATTTAAAGCATCCAGTTAAAAGAGTGTTTGACCCCAAAAGTACAGAAATGCTTTCTAAAATATTCAATTATTTACAAGTAAGCAATGTCTAGAACACTTGTGAACTTGTTTACTAAAACAAAGTAATGTAGACAATGCATGCACAGTTGAAAATACAGTGTAAGGGAAGAGATATTGTAATAATTTTAGGTATGTGGATAAAAAAGATGTAAGTCTGTTTTTTTTTTAAAAAAAATGGGTAATAATTAAATTCCCAGTTGGTACCATAATAAATATAAAATAAATTCAAATTATGAAGTAAAGAGTGGTTTGGTCCAGATGATGGCGGTATGGATATGAGAAAGAGGAGTTAAGGAGGGGAAGTCAGGAAGAGAAGTTCAGACCACACTGAAGGTAGAATACTATCTATGTAAGTGATAAAATGGGTAATGGTATGAAGGGAATATATTGTTAAAATCTTTTTAGGCTATTTCTAGAGTGAATGTAATGTCTTGTGGACCTGTGTAAAATTTCAGTGTTCTGAAAAGTCACGAAAACATTTTTTTATGATGATGGATAAATTAAAAATAGTTTTTATTCTGCCTATATTTTCTTTTCCTTTTTTGTATATCTATCATAATTAGGCTCATTCATCTAGAACATATCTTCTTCTTTGGAAAGAGTTCAGATACTTCCCTTATCAATCTGAAAAACACATTTGAAGATTATAGAACATTTGAGTGTTTTAAACAAGATCACTTATTATAATCTAGATGGTTATTAGATATTGCAAAGTAAATGAATGAAATAGAACTAAAATGAGAAAATATTTAGAAAAAAGGTCTGGTGATATGAATAATGTAATAAGCATAATAACAAATTCTTCTACAAGAACAAATTTTCTAACTTTGAAGGTGTTGACAGTTTCTCATAAAATAGGATACGGTGAGTTCAAGAGCATTCTAAGTAGGCAGAGAAGCAAGCTAAAATATTTTAATGAGTTATATGCCTCCCTTTGTGCTAGCAAACAGATTAATGAGGTGTCTCTAGTACATTAATAACTTGAAATGAAAGAAAATAGTGCTCACGAGTTTGTCACATGTTCGACACAGAATATATAAGCTTTCCCCTAGACTTGTTGACATTCACACTCAGGATCTTACCTTGAACAAGAGATCAAAACTACCTCTCACAACACCATGAGCTATTACAGCGGCTACTATGGAGGCCTGGGCTTCGGCTATGGCTGTGGATGTAATGGCATCCGCAGACTGGGCTGTGGCTGTGGTTATGGAGGCTACGGATTTGGCTCTGGCTATGGAGGCTACGGCTATGGAGGCTGTGGCTGTGGATGTAATGGCATCCGCAGACTGGGCTATGGCTGTGGTTGTGGAGGCTACGGGTATGGCTCTGGCTTTGGAAGCTATGGATATGGCTGCTGTCGCCCTTCATGTTATGGAGGGTATGGGTTTTCCAGCTTCTACTGAAATCCTGCTCTAGTAACTCAGCATTTGATACCTTGACTAGATAATCTGAGAAATCCCAGTCAAGTAGCTGTGACCGACCTAAGCCAACTGGGCAGGTGAAATCATAGAATGGTAAAGACTCCATTTATAAAATGTGCCCACATTTTAAGTTTGAAGACTAAAAGCGAATTTATGTTCAATTGCCAATAAATGATTCAATAAGAAAGTGAAAAATGATTTTTGTTTGGCTCATTTCATTTAAATGTTGACTTCTGTTAAGTACAAAAAAATATAAATAAGAATATATATGTAAATAAATACACAAACACAGAAATATACAGATAGATAGGTAGATAGATACATAGATAGATAGATAGATAGATAGATAGATAGATAGATAGATAGATAGATAGATAGACAGATGAGAACAAGAGAGAGACAGAAGGGATAATACTTTAATATTAATGAAATGGTAAGGAGATAGAAATATGATCACCCTGACTTAACGAGCACATGCTAAACACAAGTCCTAAAGCAATATTCCCTTCTTCCTAAGTTTGTAACTTTTCTCAGATCATGACCTGTGTAAACACTTGCTTCATTAAAAAGTTTATTTTGTTGAAATGGAGAATTGAATTAACCAATCGACAGGTTATCTACTTGGGAACATAACTAACCAATCAGCAATGTTAAAACCTATCTCTCAGTGAAAACTTACTATGACCTACACTTTCAGTTTATGCTGTTATAAGTCAGGATGGACCACTACTATGGGCTGAGCCAATGAAAAGGCACTCAGCAATGCTGTTGAGGGCTTAGTTGGGTAGCCTGTTCCAGTATTATAGAATTTCCAAGGAGACATTTTCTTTCTGAATAGGTTAATGCCCTTTTTTGAATAGTTAACAAGGTTGTAAAGAAGAAAAATAAATTATTTCTAATGTTGACACTCTTCATTTAGTCAATATTATAACAATTCTGTTTTCTTTAAGATTTATTATCAATTTCTAGGTTGAGAAGAAACCTTTTGCATTTTAAAAGTTTTAACACTTTTACAAACAGTGATAGTATTTTCCACCCTACTATTCATGAAAATGAATAAAAACTTATGTAAGTCAGGAGTTGACACTTCTAAACAAGTAATAAGAGCATAATTATTCTTTTGATCCAATGAATGGATAGAAAAAGTATGGGATTCCCAACAAATATTTCAAAAGGTATTTTTTCTTATCTTGTGTTCATAGGAAAACAGTGGCATATTTTCATAATTTCTTCAAAGTACTTTTATTGTTTTAATGGAGAAATAAATTTTGCATAGCACAGTTTTACATCTACTTCTACGAAAATAATCTTAGTATTTTTCAAATGACTGAAGAGCTTGTCATTTGTATCACAAACTGTTTCCACACATAGGATGATCTTACACCTCAACATATTGGGAAAGTGTATTTAACAATTTACATTATCAGATAGAGTTCCAGAACAGTGTTGTGAAATTCTTAGCTATGATTTAGTTAGAGTTCTAAACCATCACATGAGATAGCCTGTCAGAAAATTATAAACTTACTTAGAACATTATAAAAATAAAAGGGAGAGTTCATAACTCTAGTATGTGGTTCATGACCATGAATGTGAGAGATGTGAGTATCTTGCTGTAGTTTCAAAAGGCTGTTCCTGCCTTTGAATGGGGTTTGGCTGGAGTGGCTCAGACACTAAGAGAAAGGTTAGTGTTGGTGTATTGCTGTGTCAATAATGGAAACATGGGTAGAGTTCATGTCAGGCTGAAAATATTTCTCAAGTTACTTGTATCACGGACAGTCATATATTCTATTCATATTGATCCATGCTTTGATGTCACCAATTGTCATATTCTCCATTCATATAATTTTTCAAGTTCCAACTGACTGCGAAGCTTTAACACTAGGTAAGGTCAAATAAACATTCCTATTAGAACAAAGAGTGTGTTCCTTCATAAATGGAATATTACAACCTTAAAAACTGTGTCATTCAAAAATTATAATAAATACCAAGAAAAACTTAACAGTGTAATTATAGTCATAAAATAAATTATACAAGACTCAGCTTTCAAGATGTGGCTACATGTGGGTGAGGTTTGGGAAACTTCAAATTTAGCCTTGGGCATTGTCACCTCACTGGGATGAGCCAAAGAAAGACTGAACACCAAGCCTTCAACACTCTGAAAGAGTATCTTATTATACACTCCCCTTTTCTGATTGAATCTTAGTTATTGAATTTAATACCTTTTTGAGTTTGACATGTCTTATTAAGTGTTCAGAGTGCTATTTGTGTTAAAGTATGTCTTAAGTAATAAATAATTATTGCTATTTTGGAAAGGTTCGGTTGGTATTGTAAGAAACATCACCTCAAAATAATACCTAAAAGCAACTACAATAAGAGAAAAGCACAAATAGGCAAAGTGGTGTGAAGGGTATATGCCTTATCCTTAGTGTGGAGAACTAAGCAGTATTGTCTTGGGTGAGTAAGCTATAACCCAGCCCATTTACAAACTCATCCCTTAAGTTGGGTAGAGATAAACAGTGGGAAATTGAAGTTAGGAGATATTTGAAATGAGACTTGAAACCCACAAATCACCAATAGCAGCTCAAGAAAAAAGGAAACAAGAGGAATAGAGCAGACACAAATGTCGTCTGTGGGCGCCTGAAGCTGAATTTCCTGTGGAGCCAGGTGAAGGAGATAGGGGGAGTTTGCCAAGAAGCTCAGTGAATTTTAACCACTGTAACTGAAAAATCAAATGTGGTGTGTTGCTAAACAAAAATAAATATTGCATAATTGAATAAAATCCTCAAATAAATATGAAAATCATGCATACTCAAAATATTATACTTCTAGAAATCAGGTGACAATTCATGAGTCAAGTTTTTGCCTCACATGACACAAAATATGTTATTCTCTTAAATATGTTGTTACATTTCAATCTTGATCTAGGCTATTGTGAAAATTTTTTAGATTCAAAATATAACAATGTCCCCCCCACGAAAATGATCTAGAAAAATTTTAATTTTCATTCAAGAATACTTAATGTGTTTGGTATTGTGTAATAATAGCAATTTTTCTTACAGCCTATTTTCTTTGTGTTTGGAAGGTATACTGACTCTGTCTAATAAGGTTAAGGCTGTCAGTTCTGAGACAAACTCACTAGGTAGCCAAATAAAGCATAAATATTCTTAACAGACGTTGGTCAGATGATAGAGATGAATGCGCTGTCTCAGCTAATTACAATTCATGGAATGGCACAAAGGAGAGGCACATGCTTTTGCAATCCTCTGCCCAGAGTATATAAGCTTTGCTGTAGGTGCAGTTTCTCACACCCACAATCTCTCCTTAACCAGAGGAACAGACCTACTACTCCCTGCACCATGAGCTACTACAGCGGCTACTTTGGAGGCCTGGGCTATGGCTACGGAGGATTCAGAGGCCTGGGCTACGGCTATGGAGGGTATGGCTGTGGATGTAATAGCATCCGCAGACTGGGCTGTGGCTGTGGCTTTGGAGGCTATGGGTATGGCTCTGGCTACGGTGGCTACGGGTATGGCTCTGGCTACGGAGGTTATGGATTTGGCTCTGGCTACGGAGGCTACGGATATGGATGCTACCGCCCTTCATGCTGTGGAAGATATGGGTTCTCCAGATTCTACTGAGTGAATTGAGGAAATTAGAAGCAACCAGTACACTTCCAAATATATGTGGTCGTGTTCTTGGCTCTTATTCCAGAAAAATGCATCCATTTTCTCTGACACCAATAGGAACATTTAAAAAGCTTCTGTGACTATTTTTTTTATCTTTAACCTCTGTAACCCATTACCAGAATGCATTTTACTATGGATTATCCTTTAATTTATTCTTCTTGCTTTGGTTTGGTTTTTAATTACTATTGTCATGCTATCTTTCTAGCAATTTCTTAGAGAAACGTTATGCTTTGTTGTCATCTAATAAATATTTGAAATGTTTGCCATTGCTTTAGCATCTTATTTTGCAACTAATAGGACAAATTTTATTGGGACGTGTTGATATCTGGCTGTACACTATGTTTTGATGAAAATGTCTCTAAGCCACTTTACTACACTAGCTTAAAATATACACAATGACTACAAAGAATGAACAGAAATAACTTTCTTCCTTGGTCATTCAAGACATAAACCCTCTCAAAATGCCTCTGTTAAAGAGAGTAGCCTCTTGCATTCTGCTGTAGGGTACTGTCATTTGCTGCATCTTCTTTTGGTAATGGTGCCCTAAACAATCACAACATTGCTTTTTTTCTATTTTTTGTCTTAGGGGTTAGTAGGCATAAGTGAGTCTTCCTTCCCTTGGTGTCTTCTGAGAGCAACAATGCCCATGGCAAACATACTTTGTCAGAAGCACAAACAGTACCAGAACTTCTTATATCACAGTAAGGTCACATGGTGATGGAGATTCAGTGGCACTGATTTACAAGATAATCTGCTTTTCTTGTGTATTGTGGTGGAGGGGAACACAGATTCTCTATTTTTAAGATTTGTTATCATTTTATTTGTGTTTATATATGGCTGTGTATTTGTGTGTCTTCCAGTGGGAACATGTAGGTGAGTCAATTTACCACAAAAGCCCGAGGCTTCTGATTCCACTGGAGTTGGAATTACAGGTGGTTGTGTGTTGCCTGACCTATGTGCTAGAAACTGAATCTGGGTCCTCTGCAAGATCAGTATGAACTCTTAACTACTGAGCCATCTCTGCTGCCCCATGAACACAAACTTTTTTTTTAACTCCAATGGTAATTACTAATATTAACTCACAAATCAAACATCATGCACACACACACATGTGCACACAAAAGCATATAAATGCAAACAAGGATATAAACATACATATGTTACAAAGTGAATGTTGAGAGTAAAAGATAGAAGTTTAAGAAGTAGGCTGATGGAAATAAAACTTGTATTGATGGAAACAAGGAAGGAACCAAATCATCTTCAAGGTAGGAGCTGAAGCAGCAGACTTGTTGGCATGAGTGTTACTTGTGTAGGAGTTGACTGTAGGGTTTTTTTTCAGCTGTAGAGATGAGAGGACTGAAGCTGTTCTATATCCTTATGAAAGGATAGAAGGCAGCTCTACATTTATAGACAGAAAGGCATAAATAGGGGCCAAACTATGGTAAAGCTCAGGGATAGTTATAAGTTCTCTACTTCTTTATCTTTGATGCACATTCCAGGTGGTCAGGTGACAGGTCTCTTGGAGTCAACACCATCAGAATCCTAGGTGCACACATTTGCTTTGTATGGTGTTTAGATGAGGTAATTATACCTTTTCCTTGGTGTGGTATGTCCAATACTTATGCATGATTTTCTTTGATATAATATTAACAAGCACACATGCCCCTATGTTTTCAATCTGTACCAATAAAGTAACAGAATGGCATTCTGCCTACTGCTAGGAGTGATTTATTACTGCTACATGAGTGGTTCCACATGTATTTCAAATGCCCATCCAGGTTTATAGTTGTCTTCCATGCTTAAAATCGAGTCAAAAGGTATATGCAGAAGATTCTGTCCCACCTGAAGCTCTCAAATAAACACACTGAGGCTTAAATTAATTATAAAGGCTTAGCCAGTAGCTCAGGCTTGTTACATTTAAATTAACCCCTATTTATTTGTTGGAGGGGGGCTCTTGTTGGTTTCTGGCCATTTAGCCCTGAAATAGTATCACAGAAACTGTATTAATTAAATCACTACTTGGCCCATTAGCTCTACCTTCTTATTGGCTAACTTTTACATATTAATTTAACCCATTTCTATTAATTTGTGTATTGCAACATGGCTGTGGCCACATGGCCAACTAAAATTCACTTAAAAACCTGAGAAAGCTTAAAAAAGAATCCTAGACACAAAAAAACATAGTTAAACATGATTTGGCAGTGGCATTTTCTTGAATGGGCTCTGTTTACTAGAAGCAACCAGAGGCATGGCTCCTTTAAGAGGGGTTTCCTGATTTAGCCAAAGCAGGAAAAAAAGGCATGATTTTGAAATGCCAGCTTTCTGGGTCGTGCTGTCAGCACGAACTCTGACGAGGTCTGGCTATCAAGCATTTAAATGAGTTCTATGAATAGAGTGTTAACAGCTGCTCAACATAGACGCACTACATACTTGGAACTGGGGCAAAGTGCAAGGCTTGCAGAGGTGGTGAACGGACCTTTTCCATTATGTTGTACTGGGCAGAGCAAGCAGACAGGGCCTTATTTGACCTAGTAATGCTGCACCTTAATGTAAGCCACAGTCACGTGGTGATACATAGATTCATAGAAATGGGTTAAATTAAGATGTAAGGATTAGCCAATAAGAAACTAGAGCTAATGGGCCAATCAGTGTTTTAATGAATGCAATTTCTGTGTGGTTATTTTGGGTATAAGCTAGCCGGGTTGCGAGGAAAACAAGGGGCTACCTTTCCTTGTAACAATTTGTGGCCCAAACAAGATACCTGAAACTAATCTCTTTTGTTCAGCTTTTTTTTTTCTGACCACTACTAATAACAACTTATAACCAATCCCGTTAAATGATAACAAACATTTATAACCAATATTTGGAGATTGTGGGTGTCATTCTCTATACTCCTTCCTGTTGTCTAGAGGTGCTGGATTCCTGGGAAACCTTGAGAAAACTGGGATAATAATGAAATCCCAAGTGGAGTAGTCCATGAGGTTGAATCTTATGAGCCAGTAGCCATGAAACTGTTTAGGATGCAGAATTTTGAGGAGATTGTAACAGAGGCATTTTGAAATGCTGCATCAGCTCGAACATTCATTTTCATTGGTGTAAAGTCCCCTTGTTTATAAACTTTTATAGGTAACATACATAAACTTTTAAAGGTAACCTAACTTACAAATAAATGCATTGAAGCTTATATCACTCAATATAAATGCTTAGTTAATAGCTCAGGCTTGTTACTAGTTAACTCTTTCATTTAAAAATATTTCTTATCTATGTTTTGCCACATGGCTTAATACCTTTTCTCAGTACAGCATGCTCATCTTGCTTCTCTCTGTGTCTGCTTGTGACTCCTCTGACTCCTCTGACTTCTTTATAGCATTCTCTACTTGACTTTCCCACTAATCTTGTCCTGTCCAGCTATTGATCAGTCAGCTTCTTTATTAAACCAAGCACAGTGACATATATTCACGGTGTAAAGGATTATTCCACAAAAAGGATCTTTCAAAATAGTCTATATGCAAAGTATAGTCTGAGAAAACAGCATTTCATAGAATATGAAGTAACGGAGAGTTGGGCAACAGCCTGCTCTCAATGGTCCCTAATAGAGACTACCTATTTGACATCACTGTGAAACAAGAAACACAAGGGTCATAATACTCTACAAAGAATGGCAGGGAGCAGGTGTGCAGGAGGAAGCATTTCTTATTTGTTTATCATTTATTGAAGGACTTTTAATGTTCAGTAGAAAATTTCTGCTATGGAAGACACAAACTGAAATGTTAATAGCATACAGAATTTTTTTTATTGATAAGAACTTTTCATGGTTGACAGCTCTTATTATTCAACCAAGACTAGGGACACTGATTTTTTTCTTCCCAGACATTTTCTACCCCGAAATTCCAGGTCATACAGAAAAAAATGCCTTCATGCTTGCTCTACAATTTATCATTCCTGGTTCAGCACCTAGGATCTCAACAGTGAATCTGGACTGTATATTCCTGCAACAAGTTTATTAGCCAACTTATAAAATGACAAGGGAAGCCCATTCTACTAGTTCACTGGTCATGAATAGACATGTGTGAATCCAATTAACTCATGTTTGACCCCTTGCTATTGATGTCAGAGTTCTTTGCACACTTCTATATACTTAAAAGAGAATAGTTGTTTTAACAAATTTTATGTTAAATAAATAATTTTCTTTTATCTATATGCAAGACAAGAAGGAGGGATGACAAAGGGAAAGAAAGAAGCAAAAATGGAAAAGGGAAGAAAGGCAAGAAAAATTTTGGCAATTATGATCACTTCGTAATTTAGCTTTCTCTGGCAACAAAGAAATTATTGAATCAATAAAAATATTTAGTTAGAGAGAAGAAAATAGAATAAAGGATATTTTCTTCTTTTAAATTTAGAAGAAGGGATTAATTCACAAAGAAAGGGCTGTGGAACTTATATACATACCTTCTGAATTTTCATAATTAATAAGAAAACAAAGATAATTTGTGCCCACGTGTTGTCAAACTGAAATAAATGGATACAAAAACTTTCCTGTGAATTTATTTTGCAAGTAGTGTAATTAATTTTGTCATTGAAAGCTTAAAATCTAAAGTTTCTGGTGTTCTAAATACCCTGGACAGAGTTATTCCACAGCTTATGATTTAACTAGAGGAACCCTAGAATGCTCCTTCTGTATTAATGGCTGTGGTTAGCATTCTGTATGATTTATGTCGTTGAGTTTTCATCTTTTATTGCTATCTCTAAAATTTAATGACATGTAAACACACTTTTACATTTGCTCTCTAAGGGATTCTGTTATGTGTGGAGATTGCCCTGTTGACACATTTTTCAAATGGTGGGTGTTTTTATCCTTTAGAACATATAACATGTGATTGCTCACCATAATTTTCTAAAGACAGGCAAGGCACTGGCTAAACATGACCTTGTCTCACATCTACATTTGGTTT